AGCTGGGCTCTGCTCTAGGAAGGAGGCAATGGCAAACCACTTGCCTTGAAAAAAAACACCTTGCCTTGAAAACTGCAAGGACTCGTCCAAGCAGTCACCGTAGAGTCGGGGACGACTGAGTGCGGGTTAAAAAAAAAAAAAACACTGAGTAAAGGTTTATAGATATAATGTTTTCAATCAGATTCATATATAAAAAGCTTAAAACATTTTAAGACACTAAAACAGAACATTTACAGATGTTTTAAAAAGTCAGAGAAGATGTAGTGAAGCAGTCCTCAAGATGCTTCAACATCAGTGATGTTGGCTGGGTACTGTAGTTCAAGAACATCTGCGGGCCACCTATAATTTAGGTCAAACATGGACAAATCTCAGATTCATGGGAACGTCAAAGTCCTCCAATCCAAATACAAATCAAGTTACCAGAAATCAGAAATTTGTTTTTAGTTGTTGTTTTATATTTGTTTTAACTGGTTGTTTTATTATATGCCGCCCAGAATCACGTCTGTGAGATGGGCGGCTATATAAATTCGATAAATAAATAAATTGGGGTAAGGGGTATCCATTACTCAAGAATGCCTGTTGAATCAGAGACAAGAACATTGTGGAGATTTACCTAATTTGTCTGATGCAAATGATGTGAATCATACCATCTGGGTGAATTTATGTCATTTACATGATTTATAATTACATAAATTGCAGCAGAGATATGGTCTGATGCATGCAAAGTCTGATCAGTTAAGATCTGGTAAAATGAGCTTTCACTGTATTTTATAAGTATCCCTTTTTTACATTCAGTAGGTGGAACATAGGCTGAAAGAGAATAAACTATCAGCCGAAGGCAACTCTAGTTGAGACTGACTGCAAACCATTCCAGATATCCGCTGGAAGATCTCCTCTGCCTTCTACATGCCATCAATCCAACCCTCTACTTGTGAGAATGTGGTGCTTATAAAAACTATCAAAAGATTTATTCTCTCCTGTCTTTAAAAAGAGACAAACTACTAGCCCTATTTACTGTAAGAGCATGAGAAAATGAACAAGAATCATACTACCATAACTGCCTGTTTCGTTTGAAAGGAAGATCTCTCTGGAATACATGTCAGATTTCCTTCCTGTCAATTTGGACTGGGAACAGTTAATCCAATGAACAAGCATTTCAGAGCTCTAATTAACAATTATTTATTAGAAGGAAGGTTAAGATTACAACAGAAGAATTCCAGCAAGTACCTGAAGTCTCTATCATTGCAGGCAACAAGCATGAAGCGCAGAACCTGCTCCTGGATAGTGGAAAATCTTTACCAGCAGGGAGAGTTGCTGTGAGAGCTGCTGAATCCGTGCCAGTAAAAGAACACACAATCATAATGTATTTCATTTATTTTGTGGCATTCCTAGGGCACCCCACTCCCAATGGACGCTACAGCCGAACACAGACAGATCCAAAATACCCATCAACTGACCTTGATATGCTCTAGCCAATGAGTGGATTCCAAATTCGAGAGCCAGTGAGTCTCTTCTATGTTGGGATATATAATCTCCTTTAGTTTCCTCAATGACTCTCTCATGACATGGATATTATGGATGTCCAGGAAGACCAATTCGGCATTCTGATAGGCGTCCTCACTTTCATAACCTCCTCCTTTAGCCTGAAAGGCAATGAATATCGGGCTGTTTTGGGCTAGCTGAGGTTCCAGATCTGCAAACTCAGCTTCATTGACTGCACAGCCATACACAGTCTCCTGCCACAGTTGCTAAGACGGAAATGAGAGTCTATTTTTTGAATCCTGTTACTTCAGTATGGGGAGAAGCAGGGCAGTAAGCTCTGTTAGATGATGTGTCAGGTTAACTTCCTTTGGTTTTTGAGGAACCACCACAAATCTTGCCTTTTTAAGACTGTCTTTTGAAGGAAAAGAATATCACTTTTTTTCAGACTACTTTATTTTACTATTTTAATTCTACAACTATTTTTAATGTACTGATTTTTCTATGGGCCTTATTCATTTATTCATTTTTCAAATTTATGTATGCTGCCCATCTCACCACACAAGTGACTGTAGGCGGCGTTACAAGTAAAAAAACTATAAAAAGCTTTTTATTCGCTTGTTATTTTATTTTAATTGTTGTACACCGCCCAGAGTCGCTTTGTGTGAGATAGGCAGCTATATAAATGTGATATATAAATACATAAATAAAAATAAAATCTTAGAAAAAATATACAGGTTAAAAAATAAAAAAGATTAAATTAAAACTAAACAGTGAAAACTACGGTGCAACTAAAAAGGTGGAGACAGCATCCTCAGGCTACTGACCACCCCCAGTGCTGTGAACTCTTAACAGACTTACCAGTTTGGAAAGCCGACTCACAGCTCTCCAACTCTTTTTCTCCCATGAACTTCCCTGCACTGAAGATAAATAGTGCTATCTCAGCCCTGGGGCCTTGTGGTTTCCTAAGAGTAAGGCTTTCCCAGTGGTGGGCACCTCTTTCTGGAGCTCAAGTGTTAATGATCTTACATTCTTCCAGATGTCAGGTTAAAACAATACTGTTCCATCACGTTTTTCCCAACTGTGAGTTCCTATTTTTAGCTGCTATTGTTACACAAGAAGTTTTGTTATGCTTTTAGCAACGTTTGAACTAATTGTTATGTAAAACTGCGGGGGATGGAGAATTATTCACACTAATGACTGAGGTGTTAAACCACAACAGAAAAGCAGTACAGAGAAGAAGAACCAGAGAATCGTTCACTCCATTTTGACAATAGTAAGTGTTACAAGCAAGGACACAACTCCACTTGTATAGATTCAGCCACAGCTAGAAGATTCAACGTGGCATTCTCCAAATGCTTTGGACTTCAACTCCCAGAATTCCAGATGGTTTGCCAGGCTGACTAAGGCTAATGGGAATTGTAGTTTAAATCATCTGGAGGAGACAAGGCTGCCTACTTGTGAACTATTGGCTTCTGGGAAACTCATCAACCTTATAAGATATTAAGGGTTTTTTTTGAATACTGAGAGCTTGCTTGTTGATTTCCTAATTATCCATCCTCCACTTGGCATGCCACTGAATACAGGGGACTGTAACTTGCTGGACTTCCTGGCAGAATGGTCTTCTGCTCGCTGGGAGTTGAAGCCCCCAACTACTGGAAGGTGCTATGTGGGAACTGGCTGAAATAGTTGTTGCAAGAGATATGACAATCCAACCTTGTTGGCTACTGCATTCACACTCGGCCTGGCATCAAAGATCAGTATTTTGTGGGACTGGGCATTAGAATCCATGACAGATTGCAGGTACTTTTCATCTTCTTTGCTCCTCTTGCCACTCACTCCAACCATTGGCTGGCTGCAACGAGCAACTGTGGCTTGACTTTCTGGATGAATCCATGACAGAACCTGGCAGAAGAGAAGAATGGAAAGGAAAAAAGCAAGAGTAGGTTATGGGAAGAGGATATTGAATATTATGGATTGATTTTTAACTATTCTGATTCAAACCACTGGAACTGCAATCTGAAGTATTCATACTGCTAGGGTGGGTGGTGTCCATAAATTGTAAAATGATGCTTTTTTCCCCTCAAAAATCCACCTGGTGAAGGATGCAGCCCAACACATCTGGAGGGCACCAGATTGGAGATGGCCAATCTGCAGAAGTCACACTGCTAGTGCCATACTTACAGGTATGCGCCCCCTTGACCGGAACGCAGCCACTTTCTTCAACTCCTCATCTGGAATATTGGCTGGAACTACCAGAAGGGCAGGATAGGTATCACAAAGCTCATACTGCTCGTTTATTCTAGTCATTCTCCAACTTTCATTAGGAATTCCCTACATAGGAAAGAGCAGCCATTCAGAAGATTTTAAAGGGAAGGGAAGGGAAGGGAAGGGAAGGGAAGGGAAGGGAAGGGAAGGGAAGGGAAGGGAAGGGAAGGGAAGAGGACTTTCTCTGAATACTAATCTCTGGGAATTAGAGATTTGCAAAACTGGGATTAATCAAATCCATTTCACTGTCTCCTTTACTTCGCAGAGCAGATTTCTGTTTCTACCAGTTTTACTTCTAGATTTTTTAATTATCAACTGAGAGAAAAAAAAATCACCATCTGCTTTAGAAATGGCGGATTGCTTTGAAAATGTACAAGGTCGCTTTTTATGTCTTTGATCCACAAAAACACCCCATGTCCTCTGCAGTGCTGGGCATATGCAGCTTCTTTCCTGCCACTTTTTCTGGATAATCACGTGACATGCAGGGATTTAGATTAATCTGGCCCAGGCACACTTACGTGGGAATATCTTTTATTTGACCATCCCATTAGAAGTTCTTCAAACCAGCAGTTTTGTAATAAGATAGTTTGCTAGAGAGCAAGGCATGCAAGCTAGAAGTGGAACAGTGAGACTCACCTGTCTTCTATACTCCAGAATGGGATCATAAACTTTCCAGCCATTTTCTGGGAAAACTTCTTTGTATTCAAATGCAAATAGAGACTTAAAAAAATGGAGAGATTCTTTAGCGATGTATTTTCCATTTTTATATGGCATCTCAACTAACTATTCCCATGCAGCCTTTTTTGTTTGTGTAACTTTATAAAAACATAAAAGAAAGCAGAGAGACCCAGAACTTGCATATGTTATCATAAGCAGATCAGTGTATGTTTCTCTATATTCCTTTGTTTTCTGATCTATGAAACTGCCAAGAGAATGGAAGGGGAAAAAATCAAATGGTTCTTAAGGAGAGACTTAATAAGAACTGTATTTCAAAGCAGCATCACACAGCTGCATGTCAGGTTCCTTGTTTTACACAAGGTTGACATCTACGTACATGATAGTCTCTTTTGTGATGTACGGATTGTGCTTTGTTTGTTTTGAGTGACATGGAACTTAGTGCTAATTGTGGGCTCTATAACTGGGGAATGACCAACAGTTCCCATTTAGATAACAGTGTGCAATGAAAAACAAGGCTCCAGCCTTCCCAAACTTTGATGCATGCCATGGCACCAGAACCTTCACTGCCCACCTTCTTTTTTACTTCATCAAGAAGAGAAGGACCCTGCAAAGGATCTGCTTGACTGTAAAGGCTCACATTTAAAGAGCTGCACATTTTCCCAACATGCTTACAGTTTCACTGAGGAGAACTGGAAACAGAGTTCCTGAATCCCCTAGCAATATCATATGAGACATCAGGAACTCCTTTTCCTGGACCTACTGGGACAAAGGTATTAGCATTTACATCCTGAATATGAAGCCCTAAGCTTAATAGAAGTCTTAGAAACCAATTATTCCTGTTGGTGGTCCCTACTCCCTTTCAAGGAAATGTTAAGACTGAGAAGACTTGGATAAATTACCCCAAGCTTGATGATCTCTTTAAATTTTCTCAGGGAAAGAGCTGAAAGCTTCCAAGATTTTCTGAGAATTTTCATGGACATTTCAGAAAAAAACTGAACCAATTATGGATGAATTGAAGGTGCTTTCCTGACACTATTTGCCATGAAACTCTCCTCATCTGATTTGGCGGGGGGGGGGGGGGGAAAA